CCAAGATGTTTTTTGTATACACTTAGATTATATTTATAAAATTGAATGTATGCAAACTGTTTTGTTCTTAAAATATAATTATTAAAATAAATACAATTTTGGATATAAAAGTTATCATTTCACTTCAATCCACGACTGCATGAATGAATTGGTAACGTACCTAAAATACATCTTTTTTTATGACATATATATATATGTTTATAATTAAAATTATAATCATTTATATACAACAATACAAACTTTATATTATCCACTAACAGATTGTAGGTTGCCAAAAGTTTTTAATTATTTCCTCCAATGATACTAAGCTATAAATAATGCGTTTTATATACCTCAAATCTCCTTTTATTTATACTTAACTATTATAATTTTATAATATAAATGTTAAAATATAACAAATTTGGATATAACTAGAATAATATACACTGATTATATTGATTCGCTCGTAGAACAGCCATATATTCAGCTATTACTATAAAACACTAGCGGATGTACCCGGCTTCGCCCGGGGTTTTACCCGAGTAAAGGTTTGTCTAACGAACATTTGTTAAAACAATTCTCTATAAACTTATAAAAAAAATATATATTTTATTAATTTGAAACTCGCAAATTTTTGAATCTCTCGATAAAGTGGACGTTTTTTCCCGGTCCCTGTGTGCCGTGTCATCCCGAATTTTGTCTTTCCTAATTTTCTACATTACAAAATCATCGTTTTATCTAGTGAACATTTTTTCCCGGTCCCTTGAAAAATACTCGATAAGTTGAATAAAATCAATATTAATTGGTTCCCTCGGTAATTGGAAGTTAAAGGAATAGTATCTTCGCCTTGGAATTGTATCATTATTCTTGTCTCAAATAAATTGCCGTGTCATTCTGAGATAATCTTACTTTTGATAAATAATCTTTAAGATAATAAACTTAGTGATAATAAAACTTATAGATAAAAAAACTTGTTATCATCGTCGCAATGGTGGCGCTGCTTGCGAGTTAAATCTACAAATCTGCAAATAACTCTAAGGATATTCAAGATATTCAAGAAATTATTTTTCAGAAACCTTCCCAGTACTATACTAAATAATTTCCCAAAGTTTCATGGCGTTCCAATGAGTGGTTTGGTCAGGCATAAAGGACAGACAGACAGACACACGCACACATACATTCATTTATATATATATATAGATTATAAAAGGGAGATCATCTTAAAAACTTCATTACAATAATGCAAATATATATGCATATAACATGTTTATACATATTAAAACATTCTAAAATTCAATTTAATATTACATTTATTTTCTAAATAATAGAGTGAGAGACGGCCACTTTATTATCATATTTAAAAGTATAAATTTAAACTTATTATTGTGGGTTCACACATAAGAATGTTAATTGTTTTTTTAGGAAGACAATTCTACAGCACAAGATAAGGTTAGACGTAGGTTGAACTAATTATAATTAATAAAGAAGAAACGAGAACCTGAATCACATTTAAAATAACATTAATAACTAATCCCCTACAAAGATCTTGTAAAGAAATAATTTACTAAAGCCCTAAGGAAATGCCAGTTGGTTGGAAACGAGTAAAGTACATTTTTATTTAAATATAGAATTTTAAACTCAAATCTCTCTGAAATTCTAAATAAATATTAATTTCAAATTATTTGATTAGTTACCCAAAAAAAGTTGAAAATTGAAATATATTTCATTGGTTAATAACTAAAAGGCAAAAATAGTAGTTTTATCCAATAAATATTATATTTTAGAATGGTATTGCAATGTAACAACTCGCTTTTGAAACTCTCTAACATGTATTGTGTGTGTGGTCTTTGAACACTCCTAAACTTCAATGAAGCAATTATATGTAATAACTAGCTTAGCCTGGTTTTTACCCAAGTAAAAGTTTGCCTAACGAACATTTGTTATAAAGATTCTAGAAAACATCCAATCCATCTATATATAGATTTATAAACGTATATAAATATTGTTATATGCATTTTAATATATTTTGAAAAACATTATTTTTTTGAAAACATTTATTAAATTTTAAATAAGATATTTTTTAAATATATATATTAATATTGAAATTCCAAGTTTTTTTACAACGTCATTGGAATATTATATTACTAAATTATCAAATTAAATATTAAATATATATATTAATACCTGGAACACATTTCAGCATTTTTACAATTTATAAATGTAATTTCACCATACACCGCGAGAGGCGCTGCTTGCGAGTGAAAGTATAAAAGTTGCAAATAAAATTGCAATGAATATATATTTCAAATCAAAATCAAACCAGAAACCTTTCCAGTAGTATAGTAAATATATATATGTATAACTCCTTAGAGTTTCACGGCGATTGGCTAATCTTACCTTTTAAAAATATTCATCGTGTAAACAAACTAACATTCATCGTGTAAACAAACTACGTGTAAAATTATTAACAAATCAAATTCATTTATCGTGGCGACCAGTACTGCGTCAAGCGGTAAAAGGTTGGAACTAAGGCGTTTTGGCTTTACATAAAAAAAGCACATTAACCTTTTTTAGTTTTTTTTTTAAATAGCCTATATGTTAAACGAAATCTTCAGCTACCTACATGCGAAATTTCATAATGATTAATTCTGTTGATTTTGCGCAACGCGATAACAAACATCGATTTAGGATTTCATTTTTATAGATATAAAGGATATATTGTAGCAAAATATACACCATTTTATGAACAGATTATTAATTTTTATATTTATATTTTATCACACATAACCAACTTCCTTCATTGTCTCTTTGGTATGTTTAATATCAATTTGTTTTGCACATATTGAAATAAATTGTCATGTTATACTTATGTTGTTTGTTTTTCTTAATTTTCTAATGATAATGATGATAAACCTTATCTTGGATCTATAACACCTCTATTAAAATTCTTCGATATTTCGACAACCGCCTATCTTCTTCCAGGGGCCACAGTTCTCTAGAAACATTGTATCCATTGGCGTGTGCTAAATTGACCTTTATAAATAAGAAAGTGATAACTAATTTATATACGTATATATATATGATTTGTATGTATCTACTTATATATTTGCCTTATTCTGTCTGTTTGTCTGTTTGTCTGAAGCTCACGGATGGGATTTTTCATAACCATCGGTGGTTCAGTGGTAGAATGCTCGCCTGCCACGCGGGCGGCCCGGGTTCGATTCCCGGCCGATGCATTTCTTTTTTTTTACAATTTTTAAAACTCATTTATATATTACTAGACGAATGGCCCGGGCAACGCCCGGGTTTTACCCGAGTGCGTATATATTTTAAAAACGTTTTAATTCAAATACTATTCGTTACAATTATAAATTGGCGCCATGGATGTCACTCTTGTGAAACGTCCCGTTCCAAACTGTGTGTTTTTAAAATGTTTTAATTAAAATACTATTCGTTACAATTATAAATTGGCGCCGTGGATGTCTCTCTTGTGAAACGTCCCGCCCCAAACTGTGTGTGTCTTGAAAATATAAAAATAAAAATGTGAATTTTCATAAAGATTTCATCATGTCGATTTTTTTTTTTTGCATTTCACCTACTAAATCGATAGAGATAATTACATTTGCAACATGAACTTAGGTATATTGACTAAATAGAAAACTGCATAGTAATAAAGATCATTTTTTAAAGGCACCATATAGTTTTTTTTTTCAATAAAATCGAAACAAAAATTAACGATAAATAACGATAATTGCCTTAAAAAAAAGAAACATTCGCGGTGATTTTGTCTTGCATTCGTTTATACAATTATTATATACGAATGACCCGGGCAACGCCCGGGTTTTACCCGATTAAATGCTTTCATTCAAATACTATTCGTTACAATTATAAATTGGCGCCGTGGATGTCATTCTTGTATAATATATAAATGAGTTTTAAAAATTGTAAAAAAAAAAAAAAAAATGCATCGGCCGGGAATCGAACCCGGGCCGCCCGCGTGGCAGGCGAGCATTCTACCACTGAACCACCGATGGTTATGAAAAATCCCATCTGTGAGCTTCAGACAAACAGACAGAATAAGGCTAGTATATAAGTAGATACAAGAATGACATCCACGGCGCCAATTTATAATTGTAACGAATAGTATTTGAATAAAAGCATTTAATCGGGTAAAACCCGGGCGTTGCCCGGGTCATTCGTATATAATAATTGTATAAACGAATGCAAGACAAAATCACCGCGAATGTTTCTTTTTTTTAAGGCAATTTCTTTTTAAGGCAATTATCGTTATTTATCGTTAATTTTTGTTTCGATTTTATTGAAAAAAAAAAACGATATGGTGTCTTTAAAAAATGATCTTTATTACTATGCAGTTTTCTATTTAGTCAATATACCTAAGTTCATGTTGCAAATGTAATTATCTCTATCGATTTAGTAGGTGACATGCAAAAAAAAAAATCGACATGATGAAATCTTTATGAAAATTCACATTTTTATTTTTATATTTTCAAGACACACACAGTTTGGGGCGGGACGTTTCACAAGAGAGACATCCACGGCGCCAATTTATAATTGTAACGAATAGTATTTTAATTAAAACATTTTAAAAACACACAGTTTGGAACGGGACGTTTCACAAGAGTGACATCCATGGCGCCAATTTATAATTGTAACGAATAGTATTTGAATTAAAACGTTTTTAAAATATATACGCACTCGGGTAAAACCCGGGCGTTGCCCGGGCCATTCGTCTAGTTAATAATATTTATTATATACATATATTTATTAGTCATAAAAATATACAAATATTTAAATATTTTTGATATGATATGTTAATGTGATTTTATCAAATTAACACCGAGCAATTATCAATTTTGATAATTTTGTGATATGATTTATATATAATTTAATATATTAAAATATACAAGTATCAGAGTTATCAAGCAACAATTCTTAATCAATTCTGTCACCGTTTGCTTTTGTGAATGGAATAAATACCCAAATATGGCCATTTCTCATAACCATCGGTTGTTCAGTGGTAGAATGCTCGCCTACTACGCGGGCGGCCCGGGTTCGATTCCCGGCTGATGCATTTTTTTTTTTTTTACAATTTTTAAAACTCATTTATATATTATACAAGAATGACATCCACGGCGCCAATTTATAATTGTAACGAATAGTATTTGAATAAAAGCATTTAATCGGGTAAAACCCGGGCGTTGCCCGGGTCATTCGGCTAGGTTTATAATAAGAGTGGCACAAGGAAGGATAGGGCGCCAATAGAAGACTTGTTGGCACGCACAAGAATAAAGATTCGTTTGGCGCGGCGAAATTTCTTCTCACACCTAATTCCGACTGTTTTTTTACAAGCTTCCAGGCACTTTTATAGCCGGGGTGTTCTCTCCCGTGGTATATGGCCACCGTGTAAAGTTCTATGGGGCCGTGCTGTCACGCCTATTTCTGGAGTCGCCAACCTTCCTTTAATTTAATTGGTTCCATACAAGTTTCATATTATAGTGATTATATAGGCTGGTTTGTTCTGATTTTTTTTAAATAAATAAAATGCAGTAAATATGTAAATATTGTGAAATGTATGACAAGATATCCGAGAGGCCAAGATTCCAGAGTAAAGTTGTGGAAAATGGGTGGACTCCAGCTGCCATGTGTGAATCCCCTCACAGACGCCAAAAACAGCATTCGTATGTGGGGGAGGACAGAGTCTGGTCACATCTGTGGCGAGTGGAGGACCTGAGTGTGGATGATCCTGCAAGACAGTGCCAGGAGAGCCTGACATCGGAGCGGCCTACAAGGCGGTGTAGTCCAGGCTGGACGTGTATAGTGTGGAGCGGGAGGATTCACAAAGTGACATCCACGACGCCAAGGATCCTTCTGACGGGGAAGCTAAAGGCAATTCCCTATTATTGTACTCTTTTTGTTCAGTGAGACGTATAATAAAGCGCTAACCTTTGCTGCATAATCACGAACTCACCTGTGTATCTTTGTGGCATTCTGATTATATAAAGAACACGAACAGCGTCTGGGAACGACATAACAATATGTATATATTGCATTATAGGAAATAAAATTATGTAAATATAATAGGATAGATATAAGCTGTTGGTGTGTACCGAGGAGCTGTTTAATTTGTCGAAAATAAAAATTTATCCCTTATGATGTCTGAGATTTGAGGCAACCAATAGTTATAAAATACAACACATATAATAGGAGTTATTTTTATATTATAGTGAATGCTATTATAGTGTTACTCCTTTAGAGAACTGTAGATATTTTCGAAGCAACATATATGGAGAAAATGCATATTTTTGCGAGAAAGAAAGTAATTTTTGAAATCAATTTGTAATATGTGATGTGGATATAAATGCTTTATTATATACAAACATATGGCAAACATAAGAGCTTCACAAGGTATAACATTTCTAAAGAATATTCATAAATATGATACCGAACTTTAAAAATTAGAGGTGATTTATAATTTTATAAAATGCTATATATAATGTGATAAAGGGGAGTTAGGACCAATAAAAAGGTGAGAATTGTCAATGGAAGGGAATGTGGTTATTTACATCAGATAGATGGCGGCTGGAGATTGTTTACAGAAGTTACAGAGAGAGAGAGTTGTTTTTATCTTGATGTTGTGTTGGAATTTAATGTTGGAGTTTAATGTGTAAGTGAAATGGGTTGTGGGCTGTGATAATTGTGTGTGGGTGTTATCATGTTAGGATGTAAGAAGAGGAAGGTAAGTCACATAGAAGTTTCTGGCAAACAGAGCGAGGAAAAGATTTGCCTTGGGCTTTTTCTACGAGCTGCAGGCTTTTTCATACAAGGTATGTCCCATAAGTTCCCGGACTGGGTCCATAAAAAAATAAATAAATGAAAAATGTAAATAAATTTGACTGTTTATTATAGAAAAAAATATCTGGGAACACGGTGGTACCAATATCGAGGCGGTACGTGCGCGGGGGCCAAGGTCATTCTAATTTATTTAAAGGTTACACCTAGCGCTGCGGCGATTTTACGATGGAACAAAAATTGAAGCAGAGGATTTGCATAGAAATTTGTGTGAAACTTCAAATATCAGCAACCGAAACTTTTAAAATGCCTAATAAAGCATTCCCCAACGACCCCCCCAAAAGAACAACTGTTTTTGAATGACATTCTAGATTTAAAGCTGGCAGAATTTCTATTGAAGATGATCCTCGGCAAGAACGCCCGAAATGTGCAAAAAATCACCGATTTGATAAAAGAAAATCCTCGAACCACTTTGCTGGAGCTAGAGCAAGACACAGGCATCTCTAAAACAACGATTGGAAGGATCGTAACCAAAGATTTGAAGCTCAAAAAGACTCCTGCAAAATTCATCCCAAGATTCCTCACTAATGAGCAAAAACTGTGTCGGCTTGCAACCTGTGAGGACATGTTGGAAATGACAAGAACGGATCCGGAATGGAAAGACAAGATAATCACAGGCGACGAGACATGGGTCTATGACTATGACCCTGAAACCAAGCGTCAATATGCCGAGTGGAGAGGTCAGGGTGAGCCTAGACCAAAAAAATTCAGGATATTGAAATCCAGAAACAAGGTGTTGCTGGTCGCTTTTTTGGATAACAAGGGCATTGTTCATCACGAGTATCTTCCTGCAGGCCAAACGGTTATTAAGGAAATGTATTTGGACATTCTTCGCCATCTAAGGGAAGCGATTCGAAAAAAAAATGCCAGAAAAATGGCCTAATGGTGACTGGATCCTACACCATAACAATGCCCGCCCTCACACAGCGCACTTGGTGACGAGTTTTTTTGGCTAAAAACGGGACAGAAATCCTACCTCAACCACCCTATTCCCCAGACATCGCACCAAATGACTTTTTCCTGTTCCCCAAACTTAAAGCAGTTCTAAAAGGAAGACATTTTGACACCAGGGATGATATAATAGAAAAATCGCTGTTGGCATTGAAGAGCATTCCAAAAGAGCTCTATAAAAACTGTTTCGACAATTTGGGGAAACGATGGCGCTAGTGCGTTGAAGCAAGGGGGGATTACTTTAAAAAGTTTTAATATTTTTTAAAAAATATATCTTACCTTTTTTTTTTATGGACCCAGTCCGGGAACTTATGGGACACACCTCGTATATTCTTTTATGAATGTAGGAAATAAAAGGAATTCGAGAAAATATCGCAAGATGTTTTATTTAATTGAAAGAAAGACACGCGCACAATGCCACACATAAATTGAGACGAGGAAGATGTCTTTTACAATTGACAAGCTGTTCGTACACGAGTTCTTCGATCTGTCGTGAAAGATCGTGCGAGATGATTTCACAAAGGGTTGAGCGTTGAACACGTAAAATAGACCCATGTCTTCACGAAATGATGACGGATCGGACAAAATCAGTGACGTAAATCCGTGGGAAATATCGGACATAGGTTATATCGTGACGCTATAGACAAGGGACAAACATAGATTTGAAGACAGCCCCGTGTGGCTAACGTGTGGCACAAGGAGGAACAGCTCCAATCTTACTTTGTCATATAATCTCGTGGGGAGGTTTGTTTGTTTCCAGCACTTTCTGTCGCCATCTGGAATAAATTTTATATTTAATTGGCCCGTCTGTGTCTCTTTTTGCTGTCTTTAGTGTATTATTTGGTTTGTTTTGATATCTTTAGAAAAGATTATTACATTTTTGTTTATTTTCTATTAAGGTTCTGATTGGGTTGCGGTAGAGTGGCCAGTTTTCTAAGATGTTGTGCGAAAAGTTACATACTACTCCTTTAAAAATATCGAATAAATTAGTTTAAAATTTATTCAGTGCTTCTTGATGTCTCTGTAGGTGGCGGCTAGGTGAGAAATAAGTAGGTAGAGGAAGATATTTTGAAAATAACATGTAAGTGGGGGATTAATTTCATATTCCGTATCGCGAGGTTTAAGAAAGAGAAGTGTGGTCGTTTCCTAACAGAAGGTGGCACACGGTGTGTCGCGGCACTTTGTCAGCGGATAGAAAGGAGATTTGGATGTGAGAGATATGGTTGGCACTACAATGGTAGTGTGAGTTTCTTTCGAACGGGATGTTGGCCAAAATCTGGAAGTGATGAGGATATCAGGTGACAGATGGTGGGATGGTTTTAGGGATAGATATTTTGAGTGTCACCTTTGTTTGTTCTTTTAACGACAAAAAGGTAAATGTAGTTCTGGCGATTGATCCTGGTGAAAGTGTAGGAGATTTGGAAGAAGAGGTGAGGTTAAAATATGGTTTTCATTTGTAACCGTAATCTATATAGTTTATCTTTTTGAAAGCAGCGCTTGGTTATAATTAGTTGGCTAGTTGAACGGGGAATTATAACAGATGTACAATGATGAGAATAACCTGACACTGGGGAATTTATATTTATATGAATGTGGTTGTGATATGTGTGGAAACTGAGGAGTAAATAAGTGGAGGCTATACGGTATATTTAGTGGGCAATATACGTACGTTTCGAATTTACCACAAACTTGGTCTTTCAAATGAACAAATCTATTTTATAAAAATTGTTTTATACCTTTTTTTAAAGATACTATGAGGCCACCTCTGAAGCCAACATGACGAACTAACACAACTTCCAAAGAGAGACCACATCTAGGAGTAGCCATGATTCAGAGAGTTTCCTCACGGGAGGCTCCACATTATACGAGAGTTACAATAAATAAATTATTCTATAAGTTCTAGAAGAGGAAATATAGCAGCCACTTTACCTGGATGCATTTGACCATTTTCTGAGAAAGAGGGGGGATTCCGTTAAATCCATTACTCTACATCGCTGTTAGAGTTATTTGTGTGTTCTCCGACATCTTATTGGAATATTAGAATATTCTAAACGAAAATATATTAAACTCTCTTATATATATTTACAAATTTCACAATCTCTGAAATATATTAGTCTTTATTCGATATATATATATAAGGTAAAATATAATAATATAGTATATAACATTAAATTATTTTTCCCTCTATACAACGAAATCATATCAATATCCAATACTGATATATTATAATATTTGAATGTAATTCTACTGTCCTATAAGCTTATGTCCATA